TTATCTGATGAAAAAGAAAAGCTTCTTGAAAGCACTCTCGATGAACTAATTAAGCAAATTAAACAACTCAATCACGCCTAATAATATTTCCTTTAAGTATTTTTCTGTAAATGGCTTTTGATCTTGATTGTTATTAGAATTTGGCGAATAGTTACTATAACTAGTGCTTGGGTCAGTAGTAGTGCTAGAACCACCACCGCCATTACCAAAGCCAGTTCCTTGCGGATTAGGATTAGTTCTAGTAGTTCTTGGCGGTCTATTTCTACCGCTTAATTTATTCTCGACTGCTTGTAAAAAGTCGTTAATATGACTATCAGGGTTAAAGTTATCACCGAGCCGAGCAGTTTTTAATTGCTTTTTGCGTTCAAGCAGTTTTTTTCATTTGTCTTTGGCTTGACCAGCAAGAAAGATAAATTGCTTTTTTTTGTTATCATCAGGCTCATTACGGGCTTTTCTTTCGTTTTCTTCGATTTCTTTTTGTAGTTTTCTTTCATCCGAGAGAAGTTTTTGCAACTCTTTCATTTCATTATAAGGAACTCGTTCGATACCAGTTTTTAATAACTCTAAGTCTTTACGGAAGTTTTCTATTTCCGAATTTAAACTATCAGCAAAATCATTCCAAATAATACAGACACCACCAATTGAAGAATTATTGCTTGTTTTCATTTGTAAGCCGTTAACAGCTTCGGTGATTTTAGTTAATAAACTTTGCTTATTATTATCAAACTCTTGTTGATTATTAAAAGCCAACAATTCCTTACGAGCATTTCTGAATTCCCTAATACCAGTAAAGAATTCGGCTAATCTTTCACAGTCTTCAACTAAATTGTGTGCTGCTCCTCAATTACATCTTCCGCCATCTCAATAACCAGCATCATTAGCATACTCACTTTTACCGGATTTTTTTTGACTTATTCGCGTTAAGGCTAGACTTCTAAATCAAGTTTCTAAATCTTTTGGTGTATATCGTGTCATATTTTTAAATCTTTAAAATTCGGTCAATTTAGTAATTAATTGCTTACAGTTTTCAGTGATTGGTTGGTTTGGTTGTTTTCAAAAAAATAATTCTTTTCAGTTAAGATTAGCTATTATTAGGTATAATTCTAACAAGGTAAAAATAGTTTCTTTAAGGTCTAACTAAAAAGACTAGTTTAATCTTTACTTTTTGCTATAGTTCTTCTTTAGTCTAATTCAATCTAAAGCAGTGAAAGCATGTTGAGTAGCCGAACTTAATAAATCATTTATTACCGGGCTAGTTGGTTCAAATTCCATTTCAAGAAACTCATTTATTTTCTTTTCTCAGTTATCTAATTCATGATCTTTAATAGTAATAGCATAAAAAACCTCTAGTGGGCATTTGTTGGTTAAATAGTGTAAGGTTTGCCTATCAGTTTCGGACAGCCTTCCAAAACTAAATTCTCGAAGAAATTTTATCATGCTTTTACGTTGTTCAAAATAGTCCTTTTCGTGAGAAGTATGACGAGTTCGCGGACCACTTCAAGGTTGATAAACTACCATTTGTCTTTGGATGAGTTTAGCTTTTAGATTAGCCCAGACTTCC